GTAACAAGGTTCCCTCTCCTGCCTCTCCTAGGGGGGCTGGTGACCAGGACCGTGAGGCAACACCTGAACCTCAACAATGGGGAGCAGCTGTGCAGGTACCTGGGGGGCAGTGATGGGGAGGGGTGGGGGGATGCCTAGGTTCTCTTGTTCTGGGAGAGGAATTAGGGGTGGAGCAGGGAGGCTGGGAGCCCGGATGCCTGGCTTCTGTGGCAGCAGAGGGGAGGGAGTTTGGGGGGGGTGAGAGTGGGAGCTGGTGGGAAGCCGGACACCTGGGTTCTTTTGAGGCGCAAGAGGCATTGGGGTGGATGCATGTCCTGCAGCCGCTCTCACACCATCTTCTTTGTTCAAGATATCAGGGCCCAGTGCTGCTGGTGCGAAGGACAAAGGATGAGATCATCACTACCACGTAAGACAGCCTGCACTCCCCTCCCAGAGAATCCAGGCCTCTGGGCTCCCAGCCCTTCCCGCTCCCACCCCTCAGCCCCTGCACCTTTCCCAGAGAACCCAGGCATCCAGGCTCCCAGTTCTCCCTTCCCTCACAGAGCATGGAGGGAATTCAGGTGTCCCAGTCAATGCCCTTAACTCTGCCTCATCCCTGGCCAGGGTCCCAGAGGACATCATGTCCAACCGGGGCAATGATCTGCTGCTCAAACTGCTCCAGCACCGGTGAGTCAGGGGTGGGGGGCTGCAGGTTGGAGTTGAGGGTTACTGACAGAGCTGGGGGCAGCAGGGGGCTGCAGGTTGGAAGTGAGGGGCACCAGGGGGGTGAAGGCACCTAACTCCTCCCCTTGCACCCCCCAGGTACCCCAAGGTGATGGGTGAGGAAGGGGTGCGCATGGTCCGGGAGTGGCTAGAAGCTTCCAGCCCCATGGAGGAAGGTAATGGCCAGACCCTGCGGAGAACCCAAGTGTCCAGGCCCCCAATACTGTGCCCCCGCCCCCAGGCCCCTCTCTCCCAAGAGCCAGGAGAGGGACCCAGGTCTCCAGGCTCCCCACCTCCTCCCAGCTCCCAGTTTCTCTACCCAGGTGCCCCAGCTTCTTTGTTCCACAGCTGAGTAGAGAAGCCAGGTGTCTGGATTCTCCGCCCTGCCAGATCCTGCTCCCTACCCCATGCTCAGATGGAGCCCAGGCATCCAGGTCCCCAGTACCTGCACCAAGCCCATACCCCCTTCCTCGGGCTCTACCCGGAGCCCCCGAGAGGACCCAGGCGTCCAGGCTTACCCTTCCCCTTCTCTGGGAGGGAGCCCAGGTGTCCAGGAGGGAGCCTGGGTATCTAGGCTGACCCACCCCCGCTTGGGGAAGTAACGTAGGCATCCAGGAGGGAACCCAGGTGTCCGGGCTGATGTTCCCTTCCCCTTGCTCCCTCCAGTGGCCGTGTGCAGCCGCTATGAGGTGGAGGATGACTGGTGCATGTCCGTGCTTCGCTCCTACCGTGACCAGCATGGCCCTGACTTCCCCTGGAGCGTAGGTGAGTGGGTGGAGCTGGCCAATGGGAGGGCAGGGGTGGGACCGGAGGGCGGTGGACAGTGAGGCTAGAAGTTGTTGGAAGGGGTGGGGTAAGGCTTGGCCAATGGGGTACAGATGGGGTTTGGGTGAGCCACTGGGATGTTGGGGGGAGGAGGGCCATAATCTGGCCAATGGGGAGGAGGCTGCATGCAGGCAGGGAGGGGCAGCCAATGGGGAGAAGATTAGGGGAAGGGGGAGGAACTGGGGACAGCCAATAAGGGAGGAGGCTGAGGGGAGTGGGCAGGACTAAGGAGGGACAGGCACTGGGGAATGAGCCTAAGGGGGTGGGATTAAGGAAGGGAGTCAAGTCAGGGGAGGCAGTGGGGGGTGGAATTGAGGGGAGGTCAGCGGGTAGCAGGCTGGGCCGGGGGTCTTACATGGTTAGTCAGCTGGCTAACACGGGCCAGGGGGAAGGGTCTCCCATGGCCCCTCCCCTTTCTCATTTGCATTTCCCCACCCCCAGGGGACGACATGATGCCCGAGGGCCGACGGCAGCTGGCGCTGTTCCTGGTAAGGCTTGGGGGGGACCTGGATGCCTGGGCTCCCTGGGAGGGGGATCAGGGGGAGAGCTGGGAACCCAGATGCCTGGGTTTTCACCTCCACTCTTCCCCCCCCCTGCCCCCAGGCTCGCAAGCAGCTGCAGAACTTCGAGGCAACGCACTGCACCCCTCTGCCCCACCACAACTTCCGCCTGCCCTGGCGCTTGTAGCCCTGCTCCCTGCCCAACCCCCATCTCTGCACTTATGGCTCCCCCACCCCCCATGCCTGCCCCTCACACATACACACCGTCTGGGCCTGGAGGAGCCTGCAATAAAGAGGAGGTATTTTTTGTACTTGGTGCCCTGGTGTGCCCAGTTCTGGGGGGGACCTTGACCCAGCCCTGCTGTGAGGGGGAAGGCTATTTTGGCCCCACCCCCTTGCTGAGTTCATCAGTTGGGGTGCACTCAGCTTTAGGGGGGAGGCACTGGCCCTGCCCCCTTGCTGAGGTCACAGCTGGGGCTACAGCTATGGGTTCAGGCACCCCTAGAAGGAGCCCAGATGCCTGGGCTCTTTCCAGCTCTGGGGTGGGGAGATGCTGGGGTGGGGGTGGCTGGGAGCAGGGGATTGCCTGGGCTTCCTGGAGGGGGGCATCTGGCAGTTAGAGCGGGGTGGCAGGGGGCTCTGGGCATCTGGATGCCTGGGTTCTCTCAGGCAATTGGGTCTGGGCGAGGTCGGAGCACGGTTACCTGGGGTCTCTGGGAGAGGGAGGGGGTGAGTCTTGGGATCTCCCCTGGCAGGATCCCCCTCCTCCGCCCTTTCCACTCCCAGGGAACCCAGGAGTCCCCCATGGCTGCAGAGCTGCATTGCCAGGCAGATAGCAGGGGTCCAGTGCAAGGCCTTCCCTGTTGCTAAGGCAACTGGGTTTCCAGCAGTAGGTCACATGGGGACCCTGTTGCCATGTAGACCGGTGTTGCTCAGCTGCCTCACCAGAAAACCCATTTAGGGAGGACCCTGGGGTTCCCCTGTTGCTGCAGAGATATCACCCCTGTATGGAGACCACAGGGGTCTCAGGATGTCACTCTGTTGCTAAGGAGATGGGTTCCACCATGCTGTCACCCTCATTGCTAAGGACAGCTGGGATTCCAGCGTGATGTCACCCTCTCCCCCTTGCTAAACGAGCGGGGTACCCATTGCTGAAGAAACCAGGGTTCCAGCGTGATACACCCCTGTTGCGATAGAGACTGGGGGCCAGCACTATGTTGGGGGGATCCATTTCTATGGCAGCATCATATGGTGGGGGCTCAGTTTTGCTAAGGAAATGGGGTTCCAGCACTGCTTCACTAAGGGGCAGGGGGGCTGTTGCCATTAAGACCAGGGTTACACTGTGTGAGTCCCTGTTGTCTAAAGTGGGTTTCCTGCAATACATGGTGGGGGGGCGGGACCTGTTACCAAGGAGACCACAAATCCACTGCTATGTTCCCTCTGCCCCACCCCACCCCCACGGAAACTGGGGCTCCAGCAAGAGGTCACAGAGGGGGTCTTTGTTGCCAAGGAGACACTAATGTTCCCCCTGTTGCCAAGGAAACTGGGGTACTCCTGCTGTGTCCCATTGCCAAGGACTGTTCCCCCCCATCAAGGGCCACTGGCCCCAGGCACCATAGAGAGGGGGGAAGCTAGATAGAGACCCCCCCCTCCAGCCTTCCCACCCTTTTCCAGCCTTGGGGGGGGAAACCTGGCACTTGGCCCAGACAGCTGGGTTCTCCCCCAACTCTCAGCAAGGGATAGGGGGCTAGGAGCCAGGATGCCTGGATTCTCCACCCCCACACCTCCGCCACACACACATACACACCCTATTACAGGGGGTAATACTTTATTACAGAAAAGAGTGGGTGGGGACATCTACCACCCCACCCTGGGGTGGGGGGGTTCTAGGTGCCAGGGCCAGTTCTAGAACCCCTGGGGGGGAACAGGGTGGTGCCTTCCTGGACCCCTCGCAACTCAAGGCCTTGGGTTAGGCGGTCTAGAACGTGCCCTAGGGCAGGGGGACCCAATCTGGGGGTGGGTAGGGGGTGGGGCCAGCCCCATGGGACCCTATCCCAGCATGGGCTGGGACCCTGTCAGCAAGAGGGGGGTCTAAAACCCATTGGGTGACCCAAAATATGCTCCAGACCAGAGGTGCACAGGGGGATCCAATCCTGGCACGTGGGGGGGTGGGACCAGCCCCCTGGAGTCCAATCCCAGCAGGAGGGGGTGGAGCTAGTCCCCCTGGGACCCCATGACCTCCCTCAGTGACTAGTCTAGAATAGGTTCTAGGTTCCCCAACCCCATCTGGGACCCCACCTTTTCTAGTCCTGGCTGGGGGAGCTCCAACGCCCCCACCCCACGGAGGAGCCCCGGGGCAGCTCCCATCCCCGCCCTGCTCTACAACCAAGGGCCTTTGCCCACCCCTGGCCTGGACACGTGTTCTCTCCCCAGCTCTGGGAGAGAAGCGGGGGCAGAGGGATGAGAACCTCCCTGCGCCCCACACACACCCCCTTTGGTCACCTAAGGGGTTTGGGAGCATTCCCCATGGAGGCACCTAGAACCTGCTGGGACCAGGAAGACACCTGGCAGCACCCAGAGCATTCTGGGACCTTCTGGATCCCCTAAGCGCCAGGTGAGTCTACAACCTTTACCCACAATTCTTTGCTTCTCTCCACCTCGGCAGAGGTCAGTTGCCCCACCCTAACCAGCCTTACCCATAAACCTTTGCTCTTTACCCCCTCAATATGGGGTCAGTTCCCACCCTCCAGCATTACCCATAATCCTTTGTCCCAGTAAGGGGCAATCCCCACTTCCTCCCTTACCCATAATCTTCTGCTCTTCCCCGCATCTCCATTGAAAAGGGGCAAATCCCCGCCTCCAGCTTTACCCACTATCTTTTGCCACTGAAAACTTGGGGGGTATCTCTCTCCCCCAAGCCCCAATAACCTAGACTCCCCTGGGGCAGGCTGGATTACCCACAAGGCTTTGGGCTTAGCTGGAATGCATGGGGGTGGGGGTTGCATAGAGATCCCCAGGTTGGGGGGGGAAGGGGGGTATGTAGGCAGGACCAGGGCCCAGGGAGGCGGGACCAAGGCCCAGTGGGGTAGGGCCTAGGGGAGCAAAGGGTGGCGTGGGGCCCTCAAAGGCCTCAGCGGGGGGGCCAGACCCAGCCGCGGCCCCTCGGCGCTTGCCCTTCTGGCGTCGGTTGCAGAACCAGACACGGACGACCTGGGGGAACAGACAGACGCATCAGGCCTGGACGGCCCCCCCACCCCTGAGTTGCCCCACCACCCCCACGCGGGAAAGCCACTCACATCCTTATCGAGGCCAAGGCTGCGGGCGATGCGGGCTATCTGGGGCAGGCCGGGCTTGGGGCAGTGGCGAAAGCAGATCTCTAGGCGCCAGCGGGCCCCGCTCTCGATGCGCGTGCGCTTGCGCTTGTGGGCCTGCGTCACCTCCATGCCGCACAGCTGTGGGGGGGCAGTGTGGGGGTCAGGCAGCACCAGGACGCCGGCCTGGGCACACGTCCCCACCCCACCCCAGTCCCTGTGAGCCTGGTCATGCCAATCCCCACAGCCTTCTGGGCCCTTCCCCCCACCTAGGACCACCCGCCTGGTCACACCAGCCCCCACGGCCCCTCTGAGACTCCTGGGCCTGGTCACGCCAATGTCCCACAGCCCCCACCCACCCCCCCTAGTCCTGGTCATGTTAATGCCCTGGGGGTCAGACCCCCCCCCCCAGTATGCCCTGGCCTTAGTCACACTGACTCCCCAGGAGGGCAGGAAACAGGATTCATCACCAGCCCCCCATCCCCCCGATACAGCTCATGGGAGCCCCAGGTCTGGTTATGCCAACCCCTCGGGTGTCAGACACCCCCAGATGACCCCACAGTTCCCAGAACCCACAGCCCAGTCATGCCCCCCCTCAGCCCCCTGGGCCTGGTCACATCAATGCCCCGGGGTGGCTGGACATGGGGTCAGTCATCCTCCCCCACCGCCACCGGACACCATCCCTAGCCCCATTCGCCCCAGTGCCGCTGGTCGCAGATGCCACCTGCTGCAGCTCGGGACGTGCATCGGCCTCGCGCAGCCAGCGGTGCAGCAGCGGGCGCAGGCGGCACATGTTGCGGAAGCTGAGCTGCTGTGCCTCGAACCGGCAGATCGTTGTCTGGCTGAACATGCGGCCTGAGGGTGGGGATAGGGGGTCAGCGCAGACCCAGGCATCTGGGAGCCCCTGACCTAGCCCCCACCCAGGACAAGGACCCAGGCATCCGGGTAAGTCAACCCCCATCTCCCCTGGCATCTGGGGGGACTGGTAGTTGACCAACCCTGTTGCTCCCTCCAGGAAAGGTACCCAGGTGTCCGGCTGAGTCTGCTCCTATTGCCCCCCTTTTCCAAGGAAAGGGACCCAGGCGTCCGGGGAAGCCCACCCTGTCTGAGAAAGAAACCCGGGTGTCTGGGAGAACCTACCCCCCCACACCAGGAAAGGGACCCAGGCATCCAGGTGATGATACCTCTCTAGGGAATGAACCCAGGTGTCTGGGGGACCTCATCCCATGTCCCATCTCCCTCTAGGGATTGAACCCAGGTGTCTGGCTGACCCCACTCCTCCCCCAGGAAGGGTCCCAGGCCTCCAGCGCACCATAGAGCACACCCAGCGCCAGCCCCACGTCAGCCTGGGTGAAGCCCAGCATGATGCGCTTGTGCTTCAGCTCCCGCACGAACTGCTCCATCTCCTCTGTCGTCATTGTCTGGGGAAGAGAAGAATACCATGGGACCCAGGTGTCTAGGACTCCAGCCCTCCCCCTGCCCCCCACACAGAGCAGGGAGAGAGCCCAGGCCTCCACATGCCTGGATGTCTCCTCCCAGCCCTGAAGGAACCTAGGTGTCCAGCTCCCCAGACAACCCCCAGCCCCACAACCCACCCAGAGCAGGAAGGGGACCCAGGCATCCAGGCCTCCAGACTCCCCTGGCCCTACAGAGAGGGGAGAGAGCCCAGGCATCCCTGGCTGATGGGCCCATCAGCCAGGAATGAGCCCAACCCAGCCCCCTCCGAGGGAACCCAGGAGTCTGGGCTCCCAGCCCCCCAACCACTAGGCCCCACTCCCCTTCCAGTGGACCCAGGTGTCTAAGCTCCCAGCCCCCTCCCCCCTCTCTGTCCTGTCCCATCCCCCACCCCCTCCCAGGGACCCCAGGCATCCGGGCTGATACAGATCAAGGAGGGTCCCAGACCCCCGCCCACCCCCAGGGCTTCCACACCCAGGACACCTGGGTTCCCTGGGAGGGGTGGGGGCTGGGCACCTGGGTTCCCTCCCTGGCTGTGTGGGTGACAGTGAAGGCCGTCTCAAGCAGACCCCCCCCCCCCAACTCCCCAAGGGGACCCAGCCAGGTGATCCCTTGCCAGGGATCCACTCCTGAACTGGGAGGATCCCAGCAGGACCCTGGGGGATCTAGCTGGCATCTGGGGTAAATCCTATTGCGACTCCTTATGGGGTGTAGTCAGTTCCTCACTGAACCCATGGGCTCACCCACCCCTGTGGGATCTGTGGTGATTGAGTTGGGTCCTGGGGGAGGGATCTACTTGATCCGTTGAGGGACCCCACTAGTCTCTTGGTGGGTCTCTCCCATGCCCCCTTAGAGGGATCTAGTGGGAATCCAGGGGGGTCCGGTCCAGGTTTGTGGGGTGTTCAGTCAAGGCCCGAAGAGAAGCAGTGATCCCAGTGACCCAAGATATGTGTGGGTCCCACTGAGGTCCATGGGATCTAGCAGGGGAACCTGGGGGCCCCCTGGGGAAACAGGGAAGGTTTCAGCAGTTTCTAAGCTGGGCTCTGGGGGATCTAGGGTCCAAGGAGGGATCTCAGAAGGAGCCTCAAGAGATCGAGAGGGGACCTGGGGGAGTCTTAGGGGATCTAGTGGAGGATCTTGTGTGGGAGAATCCTATATTGGCTTTGGGGATGGGGGGACTAAAGAGAGAGATCTCAGGTGGATACAGGGAGGATTTCAGGGGGAACCAGGAGAGGGAACTGAGGGGATCAGGAGGGGGCCTCAAAGGGATCTTGGGGAGACCAGGGAGGGTTCTCAGTGGGAACCAGAGGGAGATCTTATGGGGGAACCAAGTGGGGATCTCAGGGATGGGAGAACCAGAGAGACATCTTATGGGAAACCTCAGGAGATCCCAAGGGAAACCAGAGGAGGGATCTTGGGGGAGCCAGGGTAAAATCTCAGGGGGGGTTGGGGGAACCAGGGGAAAAATGCTAGAGTGGTCTTGGGGGACCTCAGGGGGATCCTGGGGGAGCCAGGGGAGGGATCTCAGTTGGGGATCCAGGGGGGGTCTCAAGGGGAACCGAGGGAGGAATCTCTGGGGATCTTGGAGGAAGCAGAGGAGGGATCTCAGGGGATCTCAGTGTTCAGCCCCCCAGTCTGGCCCTTACCTCATTCTCCCCATGGGCCTCATCAGCTTCACCGGCAGCAGGGTCCTCGGGGGCCACAGGGGCTGGGGTCTTGGCAGGGCCAACATCACCGGGATTGGGGCTGGCAAGGCGGGCAGGGGGTGAGGGGCTGGGATACCCCCAAGCCACGGCCTCATGCTCCCCTCCCTCAGCTTCCGGCTGGGGGCTGGCGTAAGCTGGGCCGGGGGGGTAGGGGCCGGCGGGGGGCACCCAGGCCTCACCCCCTCCCCCCGGGAAGGGGCCCCAGGCTGGAGGCAGCCCCCCCTGGGGGCCGAAGGCCAAGACTGGGGTCCCCATGAAGCCCTCAGGCAGGAAGGAGCTGGTGGGCGCTGGGCCAGGCGGTCCCCCAAAGTCATACGGGAAGGAGCCAGCCATGGCGGGGACCCGGGTGTCCGAGAGGTGTTCCGCTGTCAAGGGACCCCAGCAGCCAGGAGACGAGGAACCCAGGTGTCCGGGAGCTGCTGTGCTGTCCGGGGACCTCAATGTCCAAGCGATGAGGGACCCCAGGAGTCCGGGAGTTGAAGAACCCAGGCGTCCAGGAGCTGCTCTGCTGTCGAGGGACCCCCCTGGCATCCAGGCCACAAGGGACCCAGGTGTCCGGGAGCTTCTCAGCTGTTGAGGGATCTCAGTGTCCAGGCAATGGGGAACCTAGGCGTCCAGGAGCTGCTCAGGTGTCAAGGAGCCCAGGTGTCCAGGAGGGTTCAGCTCCACCCCCCCCAACCCCATTGCCCGACCTCTGACCTCAGGCTCAGGCCCAGCTGCCTAGAGGGACCCAGGCATCCGGGCACTTGCCACTCCAAGGTAAAGTCCAGGAGGAACCCAGTAGTCCAAGGGGGCTCGGGGGGCACTCAGTGCCCACAGCGGGAGCCGAGGTGTCCAGGAGCCTTTGAACCCAGGGGTCCCCTGCCCAGGGTGAAAGCCAAGAGGAGGGCTGGGGCTGGGGCTGGGGCTGGAAAGAGCCCAGGTATCCCAGGGCTGATAACCCCCATTAACCCCTCCCTGCCTGCTCCCACCCCATTGGCTGATTCCCCCCTCCTCCAAGAGCTGGCCCCTCCTCCAGCCTGGGGGAGGTCAGGGTCAAGGGGGCCTGGACACCTGGGTTCTCTTGGGGGGGGTGGGGAGTGGGGGGCTGGGACTCTGGATGCCTGGGTTTGGGGGGAGCGGGGTGCACTGAGATTAACGGGGTGTCTGCGAGCCCGGACAGCCGGGCTTTGGGGGGAGCGGGGTGCACTGAGATTAACGGGGTGTCTGCGAGCCCGGACAGCCGGGCTTTGGGGGGAGCGGGGTGCACTGAGATTAACGGGGTGTCTGCGAGCCCGGACAGCCGGGCTTTGGGGGGAGCGGGGTGCACTGAGATTAACGGGGTGTCTGCGAGCCCGGACAGCCGGGCTTTGGGGGGAGCGGGGTGCACTGAGATTAACGGGGTGTCTGCGAGCCCGGACAGCCGGGCTTTGGGGGGAGCGGGGTGCACTGAGATTAACGGGGTGTCTGCGAGCCCGGACAGCCGGGCTTTGGGGGGAGCGGGGTGCACTGAGATTAACGGGGTGTCTGCGAGCCCGGACAGCCGGGCTTTGGGGGGAGCGGGGTGCACTGAGATTAACGGGGTGTCTGCGAGCCCGGACAGCCGGGCTTTGGGGGGAGCGGGGTGCACTGAGATTAACGGGGTGTCTGCGAGCCCGGACAGCCGGGCTTTGGGGGGAGCGGGGTGCACTGAGATTAACGGGGTGTCTGCGAGCCCGGACAGCCGGGCTTTGGGGGGAGCGGGGTGCACTGAGATTAACGGGGTGTCTGCGAGCCCGGACAGCCGGGCTTTGGGGGGAGCGGGGTGCACTGAGATTAACGGGGTGTCTGCGAGCCCGGACAGCCGGGCTTTGGGGGGAGCGGGGTGCACTGAGATTAACGGGGTGTCTGCGAGCCCGGACAGCCGGGCTTTGGGGGGAGCGGGGTGCACTGAGATTAACGGGGTGTCTGCGAGCCCGGACAGCCGGGCTTTGGGGGGAGCGGGGTGCACTGAGATTAACGGGGTGTCTGCGAGCCCGGACAGCCGGGCTTTGGGGGGAGCGGGGTGCACTGAGATTAACGGGGTGTCTGCGAGCCCGGACAGCCGGGCTTTGGGGGGAGCGGGGTGCACTGAGATTAACGGGGTGTCTGCGAGCCCGGACAGCCGGGCTTTGGGGGGAGCGGGGTGCACTGAGATTAACGGGGTGTCTGCGAGCCCGGACAGCCGGGCTTTGGGGGGAGCGGGGTGCACTGAGATTAACGGGGTGTCTGCGAGCCCGGACAGCCGGGCTTTGGGGGGAGCGGGGTGCACTGAGATTAACGGGGTGTCTGCGAGCCCGGACAGCCGGGCTTTGGGGGGAGCGGGGTGCACTGAGATTAACGGGGTGTCTGCGAGCCCGGACAGCCGGGCTTTGGGGGGAGCGGGGTGCACTGAGATTAACGGGGTGTCTGCGAGCCCGGACAGCCGGGCTTTGGGGGGAGTGGGGTGCACTGAGAGCAAGGGGGTGTCTGCGAGCCCGGACACGTAGGTTTTGGGGGGAGTGGAGTGCACTGAGATCAAGGGGGTGTCTGCGAGCCCGGACAGCCGGGTCCCCGCTGGGAGGCGGACGGGGTGCGGGGCTCGGCGTTTGCTGGCGCTGCGGGCGGGGCCGGCACTTAGCGGCCCATCAAGACTCAATGCCCGGCGGGAGCGACCATCAGGGCTGTATGGAGGGGGGGCAGGGCCCGGGAGCGAGGGGCACCGCAGGCTGGGGGGGGCCGGACACCCGGGTTCCCCGTGTCACCGCCCACCACCGGCACTACCTCACCCCCATAACAAGTGACTCCTATGCCCCCCGCCAGGCTCCAGCGCACGCGGGGCAGGAGCAGCAACGCCACAGACACGCATGGGCTCACGTGGGCCTGTGTGGCTCAGCTTCAGCACATGCATGAACAACCCGTGACGTGACCAGGTTTTGGGACAGGGACACACTAGTCACCCCCCCCCCCCCGTAAACCACTGGGGGCCCACTAGGCCCCCCCCCCCCCCCGGTAATCCACGGATGGCTCATGCGTGACCAGTCCAGCACGTGTGACATCCCGTGGCACAAAGCGGCACGTCCATGCCAGTCCACACGTGAATGCAAGTGAAGCCTCATTGGGGACCAGACTCTGGCCCAGGGAGGGCTCTGGGGCATGGGCCACATGTGTCGAGGCATGTTCAGGGCTCCAGCACAGAGAGGGACCCTGAGGGATGGGACACGCATGTCAGGGTGTGTTCACAGCTCCAGCACAGGAGCACGAGCCCTGGGGCTTGGGACACATGTCGAGACCTGGCCCTGGGGGAGGGATCCCTGCCCTGCCACGGGCCAATGGGGAGCCTGGGTGGGTGGTGGGTCAAGCAACCCTGCAGCTCATTGGCTTACACAACAGCCACAGGTCGCCCCAGGGGTGAACATGGGGGCCAGGGGCATGTGCAGCCAGACCTGCATCGCACATGAGCGCCTCGCCCCACAGGGCTCTCGCCCGTCCATGCACAGACACGTGAGCTGCAGCGGGGACAAGGCACACATACATGTGGTCACACATCTCTGCGGGGCCAGCACCAGCTCACCCTGACTTTGGGACACGCGTGTGCTCCCCCAGGGACTCCCCCCAGCCCGGTCTGTACATTGCCATATGGGCCCATCGGCCTGGGGGGCAGGGGAGTGGGGCCTGGTGTTATGTCAATATGGGTCCCATGTGTCACCACCTCTCTCCTTGATTCCTGCTCCTCCATAGCCCCCTCTAAGGGACCTACCCCCCCGCCCCGGCTTGGGGGGAATGGTGGTGTCACACTAATATGGGCCCCCC